GCCAAAATCAAGTCTAATCTTCACCAAAACACCCTCAAAATTGAGATATAAACTCCAAATCATGTGTCCAAATTGTTTGCAACAACACCCAATTCAAATAAATAATAATTTTTGAAAACCCAAATTCGAATATAAAGTTTCAAAGTTTTTTAATGGCAGTCAATGGGGAAATTGCTACTCTCTTTTCCTTTGTTTTACATTACTGAAATTAGGGATTGAGAAATAGAGAGAGGCGTAAATAGAATTCCAATTCTTTACAACAACACCCAATTCAAACAAATAATGTTTTTCAAAAAACCCAAATTCGAATTAAAGGGAAACAAACAAAACAAAAGGCTAAACTTTTTTCCTGACTTCAAATGTGTAGTGACCAGTTTAGATTGTGCAAAATATTATAGTGAACTTTCAAAACTTTGAACAACTAATAAATATTTTTGTCGACTGATTTTCGAACCATCAGTTTTGTTTAAATTGATTCAAAGCTTCAAAACTTTTTAATAATTATCAATGGTGGAATTGTTGCTCTCTTGTACAAGATATGTGGGTGAGCGGATGAGATGTGGAGAGAGAAATGTGGGGAGAGTGGTAATATACGGTAGAATTATTTTAGGACACTAATTAATATTAATTCCTTTAAAATATATATTAATTATAATTAGATATATAAAATGTAATTATAATAAAACTTGAGTAGGGATGATAATATAGTTTCATATAGCGTATAGGAATGTAAAATTTTCATATTTTAGTTATGAACCTCAGGCACTCACTTGGTGGGGCCCAGAGTCAATACAATATCAAACAACAAATTAAAAGAAGAAACCTACAATTTTTTGTCCGGTAACTAGATTTATTGAATCACAAAGATATTGTGCCTCCTTCCCCCAACCAATCCTCGCTTCCACCTCCACGCTTTTCTAGCTGTAATGCTGTATTACGCTCCTTCCCCAAAACCCCTCAATTTCCTCCACCTTTCTCTATCCCATTCTATAGTCAATACTAACCACAAGATTCATACAATCTAACCCATATTAATCTTTTTTTGTCCATTTCGTTCCCCTTCTTTTTCCCCATATTTATTTCATTTATTTTTCTCTTTTAACTTCCCTATATATATACTCCATTTCATGCTTTCTTGGTTCTCCTTACTTCACATCTTCTAGCCCTAAATCTCCTCTTATCTCTCCTACCATTAACCCAATCCTCCTCAAGAAGCCCCATTTTTTTACATTAAAGGTGAAAACTTTATCGTTTTTCTTGAAACCCATTCTTCAATTCTTGATTTTTGCGATTGCAAAATATGGCCATTGCATACCCACATTTCTTTGTTTCTGAAAAGTCCAAGAATTTGAAGCAGCAGCCATCATTGATGGTTTCTTCTACCCCATCATCACCACCTGTCATTTTATCCCAAGATGAGCTGAAAAAAATTGCAGCATATAAAGCTGTAGAATTTGTTGAGTCAGGTATGGTTGTGGGTCTTGGTACAGGTTCCACAGCTAAACATGCTGTGGC